TACATACTTATACATAAGGTAATTTTATTAGCACAAAATTAATTTAGTTTTGTAAATAGTTGAAAAAAATGAGTAAAGTACTTGTTGATGCTCACATGCCAATTTTTCTCTAAAATTAAATCTGTTAAGTTCCAAATTGTAGTCAGTCTTGTTCAACAAAAAATGTAAACACAAAAACTATCTTTATAAATAAGGGTATACACGTGTTTCTAATTATATAAAATATTCTAAGATTTTTCAAATAAGAATTCTCATTAACAAAGAGGTTATATTCACCTGGTCGTCTAACATTTACATCTGGGCTAAGTGTATGCTTTAGATATTCACGAAGTGTTAGTAAATTGTCATCAGTAAGTTCCATACTGGTTTATTTTAAAATTTTCGTATACCCTCAATTCGACAAAATATTGAATCTTCACAAAAAGTATCTTGAAACAACACAGTGCACCGGCTTTTGATAAATTCAATTTCTTAACCAATGATCGTTGCCGGTTGGCGCTTTCTACCACAATTTACGCGGGAAGAGTTTCCGTTAAAATAAAACTGGCCAATACATTATATTTGATTCACGTGAATTTGTCCAATTTAAAAAAAAACAAGTTTCTTTTCTTAAGAAAAAAATTGTTTATTATTTAGACAAAGATTGTATGTCCCGTATTGTGTAGTTTAATGAAATTCGTGCGTAAATGATGTTGTTAAAAATATTTACGACTTTCGAATACATATTTTGTATTCTAGATTTCATTATCACCATACATTTTCATAATACGCGATGAAATACTAACCAGTGAAGATAATAAATAGTAAACATAAGCCGCTGTATAGCTACACATAAATTTTAATTTTTTTTACGTTTAAAATTTTTTAAAGTACTAAGGCTACATTTTAAGCTACTAAGAATATTAATTTATGATCTGTTTAAAATCTATTTCACAAGTAACAGGAAAAATCGAAATGATACTCAAGAAGAACATTTATTTTATACAAAAAAAGATAACATATTACTTTTTTATCACTGAAATTATGATACAAATCATAAATTTGGAAAAGTATTGAGTGCATTTTCATTCTCTTTTATTTCATTTTTTAATTTTCTTAACATATCTTGTGTGGATGTAATCTTTAAGAATTTACTATTATTATTCTTCCTATACATATAAAAAATGACAAATAATTATTAAAAATAAATTTTAATTACTGAATAAAACAATTATAGTAAAATTTGTGTTTGTAATTATCATGCTTACGTTATATTTGCTAAAACGCCACTAATTTTCACAATTGTTTCAGTTTCTCTATTAAAATTTAAATCATTAAAACCACATAGTGTTTCTGTGTTTGTTAAGGTTTCTTTAAGTATTAATAGTTCGTGACATATTTTATTATATTCTTCGTGGAACTCATGGATATCTTTGAATAAATTTTCTCTTGTCTATTGAACAGATATTCATTATTTTTTATAAATCATTCGTGTTATCTATGTATGAAGTAAAATACGTATATAACGGACTTACATACTCTTTCTGCGCGCGCAGAAAATTATTTACATATTTTGTACTGCTAATTCGAAAGTTATTACTAAAAAAATTGCAGAATTCTTGTAATGAAAAATTTCTTAAAATATTATCATTACAGTTATACATATTTTTGTACTAATGCAAAATTAATGAAATATGATTTAAACAGAAAAATAAAAATACCATCGTTCAAAGAAATGTGTCGTCCTGTTCATTGTTAAACTTTTCAATTCCTCTTCTTTAAAGTCGATTATTTTTATAATTTCAGAAATTGCCGATCGAAGTTCGGCTTCTTTTTTTCGCAGCTCTGTGTATTTAACTTGTCCTGCCCAAATATGCATGGTTAAAGCAGTAAAATGTGATTCCCAGTAATGCCGACTTTTTTTGTATTTTTTGATTGTTTCTTTCAATAGCATGAACTTTTAAGTACAACGTTTATTTTTATAACATTGAAAATTGAATTTTATTTAATTGAAAAAAGGAAATATATAAATTAGAAATAAAAAGAAATATATACAACGGTAAATATATAAGTTAATCTTTAATGAAATTATTACTTCTTTAATCAAATGATTAATTTGATTTGTTTGAACATTAGACTCTTTGTAAACATCTCCCATATTTTCTTGAAATTCAGTTATATTTCGTTACTTTATTAATAAGAAGGTTTATTTTTTTTTTACCAGAGAGGTTGTTTTTGACGCTTTGTATTTATATCTATGATTATGCGTTACAAAGATATATCAATTATGAGATTATGTGCATGGCACGACCTCTATTGTGGAAATATCACACTACATATTTCAAGCTTTATGCTTAAGTCATTATAAAACATATCGATTATAATTTTCATTTCAATTCCTTCATCATCTTCTGTATCTAAGGAGTGAGGTCTCTGAACCCCACCTATAGTGGATCCCACATTCCTTTCACTAATAGTACTCACCTATAATGACCAAGTAAATAAATAAAATAAATAAATAAATAAATAAAATGTAAAATGTTTGTTCATTCTTGTCACTTTAGTGATTTAATCACTAATGAAAATTGCATCACTGTTAATGTTTAAAAGACATAGAACATTATTGAAACGATGCAAATTACGGTATTGTACCAAACTTGTCAAACAATTGAATAACGTTCCACCGTGCGATCATTAATTAAACCGTCTGCGTCATCAGTCGAATACTATATATGAATATGAAACTATGCATCATCCCAAATGCGGAGAGCGTCTAATTTAGAATTTTAATTTTATGTACACCATGAATCGTAAATGATCGAGCATCCCCACTACGATACTTTTAACTTCATTTCAACCTGTACTACAATGCTTCAAGGCTTGTTTTAATGTTTCTTAACTACATTTTTATTTTTCACGTGTTAAAATTGAAAATTGTGTATTTTAAACTGTAGTGTTATGCAAGTGAAACGTAGGTTCTATTTAACATTGATATCTAAAAAAAAGTCATTTCCAAAAAGGACACGTTTTGTTAAATTATTTTAAACGGTAATTATTTAAACACAGAAGATTATTACATTTTGTAACCTTATTACAATAAATTCGAACTAATTAACAGTAATTACTAGTAATATTCAAACTTTGTTATTAATTGTTCATAATAATTCATCTAAAAGTTTACATTTTATAACAAAAAACATGGACAACAATAAAAAGTGATAATAAATTTACATAAATATTAATCGCTTATTAATTTGTCAAAAATTTCATAAATTTATATAATCATAATTGTGTTCTGTTTAAAAAACTTCATCAATAAAGTCTGGTAAATAATAATTATTTATATTTTAAATAATTAATTAAGTAAAGTAAAATTTTAAATTAGTAAGTATGGTTCGCTAAATACTCCTTTTCGATTACAGAAAGATTTAACAAATTGTGAGATTTGCCTAAATTACACTAAAATTTAAAAGTTAAAACAACATATTATTAGTTAGTAAATAATGGAACAAAATAATTTCTTTGAACAAAGGACATTAGAAAGGAAAACATTTAAAATCAATAGAAATCGTAACCTCAAATTATAGCTCTTGACATATTGCCAATTATTGATAATTACATCATTACATCATCTTTGAGAAAAAGACGTAATACTCGCTCAGGAAAGATCTATATGTATATGTAACGCAGTTTACTCACAACCTGGCCATGATATCGTTAGAAAATCAAACTGTAGGCTCAAGGTTCGTTGTTGTATGTCTCTATCTTCTTAGGCTGTGCATGTAGTGTAATTGATGTTTCGGTGAACGTTTTAAACGCCTCGGCGGTCTTTCGTAGTCATCGAAGAGCCGTCGTGCGAACTACGTCAACGTAGCTTTCTCGTTACGCCCGTCGTAATCTAAGAGAATTTTAATCAGTTGAGTGCCTAAAATCGTATACAAGAGGGAAATCGTTTCATACACGAATTTATACACGGAAACATGTGCCTCGACGATAGCTGGTTGTATTTTTCAATGAAATTTTTGTAATTGGCGGTGAGTCACTGGTAAACACTATTCAGGCTACTGTTTTACTTTATATATATATTGTTGTTTTCAATTACGGCAGGACAACCTATGTGATATTGTATACAGGGTGGGCCGAAATTACGGTATAACTGGAAGGGGAACCTTTAAGAAAAGAGAAGTAGAAAATGATTATAGCAAAATTAGAAGATTATAGAAAAAGTTAATAGAAAATTAATGTGTGCACTTGAATGGAATTTAATGTTATTAATTTCGCTATAAACCAATGTTATAACTTTTTTCAATTATGTCCATTTTTACTTATTGAATTATTTAAAGGCGATTAGTTTGTTCTGAAAGTACTGTAAGTTTGAATTTTAAATAAGAAAAATTATTCTAAAATTTAAAAAACTAATTTTTAATTATTTAAAATAAAAAATATTAAAATTTACTGAAAAGATTACCTTGTTTACATTATAAATCAAGAAAATCTGTTTCAATGAGATTATGTCAGATTAATAATGAATTTATTTTATTAATATCGTTTCTCAAGAAATAACTTTTACTTGAAAGAATTCTTATCGGTGCTATCTATAACGAGATGAACAATCGCCTCGTTCCTAAGTGCAACATGATTTTGTATCTCACCTTGTAAAAAGAACGTATAGTAAATAGTTAAACGCCTTTTGTTTTAGTAATTTATTGGTTATAATTATTTTATTTTAGTTACGTGATATAGTAAATGAGTACAAAATTTATCGCATTTCTCGAAAGGTTGTTGAGTTTTTCAATGAAATTACCAATGATGAAACGTATGATCACATTTTGATAACGTTATCGTCTCTTATCGTTGCGAAAGATCAATCGTTTACCTATTATTATCATTTGCAAAAAAGGCGTTAAATACGAAGTTGCTTAGGTACTTATTTCGTTTTCGAAAAATAAAATAATATTATTTCATTTCATATTTTAAACTTAGTCACACTTTCATGTGACATATTTTAAGTATAAAACTACCAAATAATTATAATTTGCAGGTAGTTCTATGATACGTTTAGTTTATGATAGAAATTAAATTTATCTATATAATACAAGATAGGAAGATTAATTGATAATTAGCCAGAATCTGATAGTATTTAATCTTATTCTGTGAAAGAGAAGAATTTAACTTTTATCATGTTGTCATCTTTCTTAAAGGAATTAGTGAACTAATGATTTAAAAGTAATAAACACGGATATTGAAGTTACTGTTAAACATAATTAGTTTCTACTGTACATATCTTTATTAAATTTCCAAGTTCTGTAATTTTAAAGTCTGTCTATACGATGGAATATTAAAAAGTAAAACAATATTGCTTATATAAAAATCTCATTTAGACAATCTTGTCTAAATCTACACAACCTTATAAAAATAACATCTCAACATGCTTCATTGTTGAAACATGTATTTCTTACGTAACTAACAGTATACGTTCTTGCTATTATTTTCGCGTTATGGTTGCAACTTGTTTATATAAAAGTTTTACTTCATTGGATAGGAGAAAGGAAAATAGCTACGAATAAGAGTGTTGTTACAGAAGAAAAAGTATTTTTCACGTTATTTATGTTAGTGTAAACAAATTATAAGTGTCAATTTCATTATACGCCATAAATCAGACTGTCAGTTGTTTTTGCACACAGTTAACAGGCATTGCAAAAATGACACTTTTTATACTTCAAATATTGAAGCTTATTAATTAATAGTATATTAATGTGGTCGTAGGGACCACAAGTTCCGTTACCATTCCCTTTGTATTTCGTATTTTTGTTATAAATTTTTAATAAAATTTCAAACAATCTATGTTTACATAACATTTTTTTCGTATTTGTACTCGTAGAATATACTGACAAAGTTTGGTCGGAAAAAATTTGAACACCCTGTATATACTTTCCAAAATTAATCGAAAGAAAAATGGAATGCGGAAGAAAAGGCGTGGTTAGAATTATTTGATGCGTCGTGCGTTGAAGGCACACCCTCAATCTACCTACGCTTACTACCCACCTTTTTGTCTCAGTGTAATTTTCTCATATTTCGCGTACCATCGACCTGTTCTTCTCCTGTATTGCATAAAACCAACCACTATAGCGGTTATTATTTATAATCTAAAACTTGTTATTTTGCATAGAATCTTCTTCAGTATTATTTTATTAATGCATGTACGTATTCTCGATAACAAAACAAATCTTTGTTCCAATAAAATAGTTAACTATTTTATCTGACATTTTTATATGAAGCTTATAGCAGTTTTCTATTTTTCCAAAAAATAGTAGTAGGCATGCCGATATAATTGACAGGAAAATGTGATGATCTCAGTTTCATCGGGTCGAGTCGCTTCACAAATTAGGAAATATAATTCCATCGTTTCAATTAAACAATTGTCCACCGTCGTGATGCAGTGAATCAGGCGGAAAGTATTCTGTGGTTACCATCTTAACCGCATTGATATGAACGATGATTAAAATTGTTTCGAAATGCTGGTACATTGCTCATTGTCAGTATATTATATCCTCGAAAGATATTTTACATTATAAAAGAACATTTTGACTTCTTTGCAAAATACTTTCTATAGTGTAGCGTTATAATAGAAATACTGAGGAAGAAACAGGAGGATGTAAAAAAAATTCAAATCTCTACTGTTTATTTTTATTCTGGTTTTTTTCCGTTCTACCGATTTTTAAATGATTTATAATATTTGGATAATTGATCATAAGTAGAAAATATATTTCTATTATCTTCGTGAAAGTAATGCGATACTGAATAACGTTTTCCTCTATTAATATGTAGTTGCACGAATAGACGCAACATTTAATTGCAATCGCACGTACTTTTTTAGAAGCTATGCATCTCATATCAACGTACGCATATCAATGAGTCTTATTGATATGAATTATCATAGTGCTATCAATCTCTCTCGTTTTTCTGCAGCCAAATAATGTAGCGGATAATGGAATTGGCCGGATGACAGATAGATAACTAACGACGTTAACTGGTGATAAGGAAGACCGCAAATTAAGCGGGAAACTGAAAACAAACTGCGTTTGGATTCGTGGGCATTGGATATATTTTAATACGCGATGTGCAATAATAATAAGGGTAAATAAGAGAATGAAAGCTGTTATTTCAATTTCAAATAATTTAAAGCTAGAAAAATTCAATATAATTTGATGAATGGAATACATAATTATAAAAAATAAAAAGTGGAAATAATGATACAATTACCGACAAATGGTAAAAAATAAAAAGAATAATTAATCCGACGCTTTGTCGATACAGTCAAAAACTGCACACTGCATTCCTTTGAAAACATTCGCAATGTATTCCGTTACTTTAATACATTTGCTGTATTAATGTAAGTTGAATTCAATTTTGAATAAAAGTTACAGGAAACAATACTTTTTGATAGTTTTTAAATGTATTTCTATAGATAATTTAACAGTAATTATTACAGAATATTACGTTCGTATTACAATTTGTAGCAATAGTGTTTTTGGAATTATGTATAATTTAAATTCAAATATTTTAACCTTAAATTACACGTGACAATAATTTTTAAAAAACATGTCATTTTATATGAATGTAAATGAATAAATAATTAACTAATCATAAAAATGAAAAAAAATATAGTATTCATATGTAAGTACATACACATAGGATGAAAAGGAAAGGAATGACATTGATAATTCAAGATATGGAATGACAGGCATACATTTCGAAAACGCACGAATGCAGCATTTGTAATTCAGTCCATGCATTAAAAAATAGGATATGTCACACGTGTTTATGTAATAGAACACAGCAATAAATTTTGTCAATTTTAACGACAAGAACATTGGCCTTTGATATAGTTTTAATTACATTTCATATTCTCTTAGTTCATTTACCATTTATAAAAAAAACTGAAGTACTAATAACGGAAGGGTGCTACGAAATTAAATTATAAGTTTTTTTTTGTTATAATTAATTATAAATACGTTAAATTAATAATTGTAGCACAAGTTTGGATGTGTTGTAGAGAAATAATAAAAACATAACTTTCAATTCGAATTAATGTGCAATACTTTTTCAACAAACAAGGCATTAAAGTCACAAATTAGCTTTTTTAGTTTCTCTTTAATATTTTTACAACGTAATTCTATTTTTTCTTTAAACTAGGATTGAAAAGCTTCTTAAATTTAAATTCATTAAAAATATATTTGAAAAATGTATTGGAGCAAAATAAAAAAATATTCCAATGATTATGTGATCACAATTTCTAATTAAACAATTTATTTTAATTTGTTTTACTTAGAACACATGAAATTGTTTTTCGTTTTTTAGAAAATAAAAAAGTCTCCCGATATAGGCCAATTAAAGTCACAACTATCGGTGATGGCACTGTTGGTAAAACATGTATGCTTATTACATATACAACAAATGAATTCCCTTCAGAATATGTGCCTACAGTGTAAGTGTTAATTAAAAATTTTTATTTTTATTTATTAATACAACGAAACACTATAAATATTAATTATGTTTTCATTAAAGTAGATAGAATTCATTTAAAAATTTTAAATTATAATATTTGAAAACTATATAGAAATAGTTTGATATTTTAATTTAAAAAATTTGCGTTTATAAAGCAAAACAGAATACCTACTGCAAAACTAAAAATTTATTATTTTATTGATTAAATTTGCATTTATTTTAAAACAGAGGATAATACTTATAGTTTGTTCTTAGCTTTGATAACTATGCAGGAACAATATATGTGGATGGACAAGAATTTGACATGACTTTATGGGATACTGCTGGTCAGGAAGATTATGAGAGAATCAGACCTTTATGTTATCCAAATGTGAGCAAGTTTTTTAATTAATTATCAATTTTCACTAGTATTTTGTATTTACTAATAGAACTTTTAGTAAATATTTGAATTATAGTAATTTACAATATAATTTTATTTTCAGACTGATTGCTTCTTGATCTGCTTTTCAGTGAATTCTCGTACTTCGTATGAGAATATTGCGAACAAGTGGCATCCAGAAATTAAGCATCATTGTCCGAACACACCTATAGTTCTTGTTGGTAAGTATCCCCAACTATTGTCAATCTGCTCATAAAAAAATTCAAAATTACATTACTTTATATTTTTTAAAGGATTATACAACTATAGTCAATCATAAATTTTAATTATTATTGTAATACTATTTTAAACTAAGTGTAAATTAAAATATTTTTAACTGTTTTATTAATAGGTACCAAAGGAGATCTTAGAAATGTAGAAAATGTGGATACAATTACAATTAAAGAATGTAAAAAACTGAAAAAAAAAGTAAAGGCATATAAATATGTCGAATGTTCTGCTTTGAAATGTGAAAATTTGGAAGACGTTTTTGTTGAAGCAATTCGAGCG